AATTCATAAAATAATCGGATATCTGTTAGATTGAGCTACCACTTCGACTGTTCCATTGACCTAATTCTTAAGGCTCGCGGAGTGTACTTGGCGACGCTTAGCAGCTCCCCCAGTCGTCTGGTTCTAGCCTGCACAGCCTCCCTTCACTTACCTCTCGTGATCTCTTGCGTGTACCTGCAGGCGGATGGACGATCGAGGACTACTGTAGGCCTGCCGGGAGTTGTCCAACACAGAAGTGTGCGCTATTGTAATACCGCCGATCGACCGATCCGGATCCTCTTCGGACGATTAGCCTGCTTGAGGAGCGCATTACGTTCACTGGCCTCAGTCGTGTATCTCTTCAGTGCTCTAGCTCTACCGACAGCCTCTGTGCGCTATGGTGACCGAATTCCCCTAATGAGCTAGCTAGATGAAATGTGTTTTTTCGCACACCTCCTTTCACTCAAGAGCGGTAATGATACATGGATACTGGGAGCGGAGGGAGCTCGGGGGCGGGGAAGGAAACTGCTGGAGCAACAACCCTGAGCGACCTCAATAACTTTCAATTTCAAGAGGGAAAGAGGGAGCTGGAAAAGTACAGGCGTTGAGCTTTGGCAGAGGGACGGGAAGAGGCGCCTAAGGGGTCCCGGGTGTGCGGCGGAGCATCTCCGGGCGCTGCAAAGAAGGCGGGAGAACGGGAGCCGGGAGCTGGGGAGGCGCTGCGTGCAAAGCAGAGCCCTCCAAAGGGCAGTTTTCGCGGGGAGAGGCGGGAGTGTTGAGGCCGAAGGTCCAGGAGGCGAGAGACCCCCGCGCCCGACTCCCGACTCCCGCGGGTCTCGGTCTCCGCGGTCAAGGCTGGGCGCACCCAGCTCGCGCGGGCCGAGCGCTCTGCACCGGGCGCCCGCACCCCCAGCGCGGCGCGCAGAGACGGGGCTCTGGGCAGCTCGCCCCTTGACCGCTTGGCAGATTGCTGGAGGGTTTCTGGCTGCGGACAACTTCCCAGTTTTTTGTTTGTTTGTTTTGTTTTGAAAGCCTCTCCTCTGTTGCTTTCCTCCCTTTCTCTCAATAAAAGTAGCTGCAGTGAGGCGCGGGGCGGGTGGTCCGGAGGAAGCTCGGTGGCTGCGGGAGGGAGGTCGCCGCTGCCGCGGGTTCCCTGACCGGAGCGGGTAGGACCCAGAGGTGTGTGCGCTCGGGATTGTCCCTTTGGAAATTCAATTACGCGGCGGTTTTCTTCCAAACTGAGCCTGGCCGCGCGCGGCCCGGAACGGTTCCTCCTCCCCCAAGCAGTTCCCTCGTAGTCACTTGCCCTCGCTGGGCGCTCTCTCACCCTCAGTCTCCCAATCTTCCGGAGAAGATCTGTTGTGCCATTTGGTGTCTCATCTGGGGGACTGGGTGTGACATTTGAAAAGGTTTCTCCTGGTATTGGGGGAGGAGACGAGGGTCCACTACTTCCTTCTGTTCCCAGCGGAGGTAGGGACCCCAGGACGGCGGAAAATGAAGTTCCTGGGTGGCCGGGGGCGGGTGAGCCCAGGGCTAGCCCTTCTGAGTGGAGTACACCCTGGCTGTCATTAGTCAGTGGTAAGCTTCCCACCTCCTTTCTGCGGTAGCACAAGTTGATGGGCTTCCAGTAGTTACTGAAGAAGCATTCAGTTGAAAGTCACAAGCCCCCAAAGGGATTTCAATACAGACCTGTCCTATGATTGTAATGGAATATCCGCAGGACCACACTGTGTAGCATGACAGGGTTACACAGCCCCGAACGTCTGGAAGGTCACTTTAAAAAGATCCTTGATTCATAGACACCTTGGTAATATTTAAGCCCAATAATTTAGGTTTAGAAAATAGCTGAAGCCTGGGAGGAAAGCAAGGAAGATTTGTGTTCCTTTTTCTTTCCTCCGCTTGTGACCCCCAGTACTAGGTTGCCTTCACCGTACGTGTTGATAAATGAGAGGAGAAAAAAAGATGATTGCCCCCATCCACCCCATTTTGCAAGCTTGCAATGCTTCACATTGCTGTAAGTCTCCGAGGTCTTTAGTGGTGTAGCTGTTAAACATCCCAAAAGTGAGGGTTGGGGAGATGAAATGGCCTGGATACAAAAGGAGAGAATCATAAAATGTGAATTCCTGCCAAGTTGCTAAAAATTAGAACCTGAGAGACTGGCCTTTCCATGCTAATTCCTTAATTAAATATAATTTCTTACTTGGCACACTTGTGTTGGTTGGAATTTCAAAGGTAGGAATAGTTTTCTTTAGGCTGTATTTTATGAGGAAGACAACCACCGCAACAATCCTATCAAGATTATGATTTTTGGCTTATTTTTTAAGACTTCCCATTTGAATATTTCTCTTTCTGGGGTGGAACTGCATTTTCTGTGCAACACACACACACACACACACACTCACAAGCACACACACATTCTCCTCCTTTTTCTGTTACATAATATCCACTTGCAAATGACTGAGTGTATCACTTAGAACCAGAAAAGTTACCAATAACAGGACAATTCCAATAATGATTCTCCATTAAAAAAATAAGCTACTTTATTTTTCTGTGCCGGTCACACTCAGCTGTGCCTTCCTTCTCACTTAATACCGCAGATCCTGAATATCTGTACCATAAAATGTGGGGGATTTAAAGGCTGTGGGAGGCTCCCTTTGAAAAGGACTCCAGAGAAGGCCGTTCTAATCCAGGATACTTGAACCGGATGGGATGAGATTGCAAAAGGGATGTAAAAAAGCAATTTGGTGAACAACCTCAGGGAAATAAACATGAAGAAAGACATTTACTTTTCACTGTGCGTTGTGCAGACATATGTTAGTTTGGAAGAGACTGGGAATGGCAGTCTAAATAAATAAACAAGCGAAGTGAGAAGCTGTAGCTCTTGAGCCACCCCAGAAAAGAAGCACTAGATGCAGCGGGCAGGAAAAGCTTGTCAAGGAATAGTGCTGGTCGGAGGAAACATAAGGAAAACATTAAATAAACGGCGAGCGTATTCTTTCTCTCTTGACGCTATGCTTTAGAACTTTTCCCTGATCCATGTTAGCGTACTATTAAATGTGTGTTTACTTGCCTGGCTGAGTCCCACATTCCCTTAACTGTCCTAGCAGCTTATGGAAAGCATGCCCTGGCTTATTTTGTGCAACATAGTACCCCCTCCCATTTTTTTTTTTTTAAATCAAGAAAGCAACACTCACAGAAGCCTGGGGCTGCCAATGATTTCCAGGGCCCAAGCCTAAAAAGCAAGTTAAAAACCATAGGCTCAGCCTAGAAGTCAACATTTGCTTGTTATTTTTCTCCAGAAAACTCTCAAGTTCCAAGGGGCTTGGATAACCAGGAGTTTAAGAGATTGGAGCTAGAAGAATAGAATCGCTTTGGACAATGAGAGTGGATTAAACACGTCCAGAGTAGTTCGTGAAACTTCTCGTCTCTCCTTTACCACCTCCCCCACCAGGCAGTGACAAACAGTAACAAGTTATTTTTGTCCTGTGCAGCAGTGGCACTCGAAGAAGAGAAAATGATTGTCATATTGTTGCATCCATACTGCAAGTATGTGTAAGGGGGTGTGCTCCAGAGAGGGAGAGCAAGCCCCACGGTTTGGAATGGGATAGAACTAGTAGCGATGAGAGATGTTTGGCAAAGTTTGGGCTGACATCAGTCATTATACTACAGAACTGACATGCAGATCCTGAAAATGCTCAACTCTCCAGTTGCTCAGATCTGGAGGCATCTGAGTGAAGTCAAACAGGGTGCTGTTGGCGGGTCTGTGTAACTGAAGCAGTTAGAAGTCATCCCTGAAATATAGAGCAGGGAGCAGTATTTGAAAGCCATTGAAATTAGTAGAGGAAGGACAACTGCTATTTGCAGAGAGAGAAATCAAGGAGACAGAATTATTATAGCAATTTAAAAAATGATTAAGTGATTACATATCATTAAGAAAATGAGAAAATTAGGACTCATGATAGATTACTTTCTGTCAACAAGGAAGTATCTTCTTTCTCCCAGATGAAGTTGTGGGACACTTATAAAGTTGTGGTGAGCACTGCCTGGTGTGCCTATTTTAAATAACTTCTGTCACAAATCAATTAATTGCTGGGCTCATTTAAAAAGCGAATACCCTATAATATTTACTATCCAAAATTAATATCTCAGAAACTTTTGTTTGATTATAGATCTTTAATATAAAGTTCTGTGCTGCATTAAGAAGGGGTCTAGTGTAGCAATCTAGGGATCAAGTTGAATCTTTATTCTGTATTTGTTGTTGTATTTCAGGTTTCTTCATCTGAAAAATGAAGGAATTCAACTAAATGGTCTCCAAGTTCCCTTTTAGCTCTGAAAATACTGGCAATATATTCAATAAAGAAAGACAGACTTGTAATTGCAAATGTCAAAGCTATTTCTAGCTATGTGACATCACAGCTTTCACTTACGGAATTGTGTTTAATTGAATAGGTCCAGACTTAGAAATCTGCTCGCAAAATCGTTGATTTTGTAGAAATGTCTGACCCATGAAAGGAATCCTAGATGATTCTGCCTCAACAAAATAGGTCCAGAACTACTTTAATCTTTTTAGATGTCTTTAGGCTTGGCCAAGGAAGAGCAAATTTTAAATCTCAGATTCTGGGCAGACACCTAGAGAGAGTAGGGAAAATGCTTTGGCACCCCTGGAGGTACCACTCAATCTCCATGTGTTATCAGGAATCATAGGTGAGTAAGGAACATGGATTTCATTGAGTGAGAACTTTTTTCATTCTGTGTTATTCCTTTCTTTTTCTGATCTATATCTTTGGATGAGGATTGATATCCATCTTTCTTTTGTCCCAGGAAACTCTTCAGAAAACCAACAGTGAGGCTTGAGTGGCTGCGGCCACAGCTGTGGGCTGAAGGATTACTAACAAAGACACAAACACACTATATAAGAGG